TTCGTTTTCCATTTCCTTCTACTTTTATCGAGGGATGATATGGCATAACCGGAAGTCTTCCTTCTCTAAGTTTTATGTTCATTTTCACGTTTTCCTGATCCGTAAATATAACTCATTTAGTATCTTTATTCGATCTGAAATTTTGTTCTTGTATCTTAATCTTGGATTTCTACTGTTATGCATTTTCCTCGGGAATTGAGAACCTCCATTTTCATATGCCAATTTGCACATGCCAATTTGGACATGCTTGATGTTGTTTTTAACGGCACTTTAAAAACATTATTGGCTATATCTTGCTGAGCTATAATGAGCTAAGTGTTTTTCCAAAGGACTCTTCGAAGCCCTGGACTGGTCTGGACTAGTCTGGACGAGTACAACCGCGGGTACGAATCCTAAAGTAACAACTTAGCTACCTGCAAACTGGTAATTGAGAAAGGGATTTGAAACAGATCTTCTAGAGAATACCTTTCTCAATAATCATTTTACATGTAAATGCAGTTATATTAATTCTCATAATTCTCATAATTTTGAAAATACTTGTATTCAGCAAACTTGACTTGTCATCATCACTATTAGACCGTACTGTGATGACATGCTGTTAAATCTTGCACATTGAATCCATCAATCCATCTATATTTACATATAAACACATATACAGATTCAAATCTCTTTGACTGTATATTTACATAAGTATATACATTTTATCATGCAAAAGGATTTGTGCACGAATGCACATTAAGATACTGCTAAAGATTCATAATGCTAAAACAAAATTCGCACGTTTGCATATTTGGCTGGTGTGCAATTTTCAGCACGTTAATGGATTTCACATTACATGTACTGCTTCTTTGAATATGCAGCCATGAAAAAGTACGTATTTATTGTATTAGAATTTTCGTTCTATTATATATATATATATATATATATATATATATATATATATATATATATATATATATATATATATATATAGATGCAATAAACTGACGACGAACAGTACGAAACTAGTAACTAACTAGCCTAAGCGCTTTCGACTCTTAATGAGTCTTTTTCAAAGGCAAATACAAAACATAGTTACGACAAACAAATAAACACAAAAACGTTGCGTTTGTAAACCTCTACATTTCTATCTTCACATGTGCTAAAACTATAATTACAACCAGCTTGTATAGACTAGTTGCGGAAACTGAAAACGTTGTATAATTCCCTAAAAGTCTACAAGCCAAAGCGACATCTATTTTTACTTTGTGTACATATGTAACGCAGATTATATCCCGGATATTTGATTCTATACCGGTTATTCTTATAGTAAAAATTGAAGGATAAGAAGATTTAGAAAATGTTAAATTCTACTAGTGCATAGTTTTCATTTTCTAGTCTTCTTGGTTTAGACCGCTTGGTTTCAATGTTCTAAGGCGGCGTATCCAGTATGATTCCTTTTCCTTCCTGGTTTCGGAACTCCAGCTGTGGTTGTTGGCAATAGCGATAAGTATTATATCACTGAAAGTGTGGCCAGGGGAGGAGAAGTGTTCTGCGACCGGCTTCTGTACAGCTTTTTTGTCATCCAATCAGATCTATGCAGGTTTATCCTTATGTGTAGCTTTTCAGTTTCTCCCACGTACTGAAGGCCACAGATCTTACATGTGATGAGATAAATCACATTCTCTGTTTTGCACGTTTTGTTTGGACCATGTATGTTTAGTTTTTCTTTAGTCACTGTGCTAGTGAATGACTTGGTCTCTATTATATGTTGACAGGTTTTGCATCTTTTATCGCCACAGGGTCCAGATTGACTAGGTTGGTTTTGACTAGCGATTGTTGTTAGCTTGGCCCTGACTAGTATGTCCTTTAGGTTTTATATATATATATATATGTATATATATATATATATATATATATATATATATATATATATATATATATATATATATATATATATATATATATATATATATATGTACGCATGTTTACACTAATATTGGTCTATACGAGAGAGGAATATATATATATATATATATATATATATATATATATATATATATATATATATATATATATATATACATATGCGCGTGTTTAAAAATAAGCATAAATACGTAAGTACCTCAGAAGCTGAGTGGTTTAAAAAATACATTGTGAAACCATTTTCAAATAACCAAGATGCATAATTTGTATAGAAAATAACTGCAATAGTTTTGAAAATAAATAGTTACTTTGAGGAAAAGAACACGTTTAAGTAATATTATAGAAGCATTGAAGTTGAAAAAATTGTAACAGAAATATCGTCTAGCAACTAGGTTAGTTTTCCAATATAAAAGGTAAAAAAAAATTAAAAAGTTTTTGACGTCGCCTATTCTCATTGTGCGTACTCTTCTTTTGTAGCATGTTATTATTCAAGGACTGTTGAAGTATTGATTACAGTCATTCCACGTAATGGCTCTTCAATGCTTGTGTCGAAAAATATATATTATCATCTTAGACTTGCTTTCATGGATAATCGGTAAATCTTAACTAGAACCATTTTAGAAGCAAATATCCATTTACTTCTAAATTTGGAATACATATGTATCGAGTTATCGCTATGACGTCAGCAGCCTAAGTAATTATACGACTCTTTAGACTTACTATTAAAGACTAAATTCATCATTTGCGCACATGCCTAAGCCAGCTCTCACGGAACACTTTGTGACTATTTCCCTTGAGTGATATTTTGCAGCTACAGTTGGCAGGTATCTGTTGATGATGATAATGGGCATGATGATGCTATTTAAATTTGGGTCGTTTATTACCAATTATTAGTATTCCTGACGAATTTTAAATGTTTGCTTTTGTGTACTATTTAATTTAGCCAAGTTGCCAACATTAGGGTCATACGTATAAATGGGAAAGCTGATGAATCATATTATCATAGTTTCTATGAGGTTGCAAACAAATCTGGTGCTTACCGTACATGGTAGTCCTTAACGATAACAAGCTTTGACATAATTTGATAATATATTTTATGGTTTGAAATAATTTGCATTTTGACAAATGTCCGTTAGCTTATTTTACAAGGTGTCATCGATCGTTAGGCAATTTTAAAGAGTTATGAGGCCAATGTGGTTTTTATAGGGCCAGCAAGTCAATCTCACTTGGCACATACCTAGCGTGATGATGGATTCACTGCAACTCTGCAATTTAAGGAGATGAAATTGAGTTTGTAAGGTCTGGCACGTAGCCGACTCAGTGCAATTATTTGGTTTTCATTCTTTTGACTAGCATTTTGGACTGGAGAAAAGGTTACTAGTACATGATCTTGTAAGCAGGAAGGCTATCAACTATTCATACACAGTATTTGTACATTAGATTCTTTCTTTAATTATTTCTATATTTCTGATATTCACATTAAATAATGGAAAACAAGCATCGATACCTACATCATCGTCAATGTGGATGTTGCTCCGGATGTTACACACCAAAATGTAACGAAACTGTCAATAACTTGTTGTTTGCCAGACTAATGCATCTTTTGATATCAAAATACGATATCTGTAGGCTGGCCTTTAATGCTTTGATAATTTGTAGGCATCCTGCTACCTAAATATATTTCTTTGTTGAAAAGTAAAGAAGATAAATGATATGTCTCCGTCTATCGAATTCAGAATTAAGATAACCAACCTGATTCAACAGGCTGAATTCGGGATCAGACAAACACACATTTTGATTTCCATCAACATTCAGACGAAGCCAAAAATATTATGCTGGAAGCTAATTTTATTTATGTATTTGATTTGAATAGTTGATCCCGAAAACTTCTAATATGGAACTAGTTCGACCACTTTTCTTACGAGATATAAGTTTATACTTAAAACTGGATATTTATCGAACACATAGGCGATAATCTTCGATTTGAATCATCAGAAAACATTTATACAGTATAAACATATCTTGCTTGTGGTATCTTTAGATCAGAAGATTTCAATTCTGCGAAATGGTTTTGCCTGAAACCTTCCCCCCAGCCTAAGACTGACCGACATGCTATTTACCCGGCACGTGCAAATAGCTTCAGTGCCCAAGCCAGATAAGCCTAAGAGCCGTTTCACTAAAGTGTGTAAACTGTGCGATTTTTACGACTGGTTTAAGTTACGCACTCGACCTTGTTTAAGCAGAGCCTACCCATTTCATTAACTTTCCGTAAACTATGCATTTACAGAAAATAAGCACGGAATGCCATTTGACTAAGTATATCCTACACAATTTTTGTTTCTGGAATGGACACAGAAGTAGTATGTTATGTCGTCATTATTTCCTAAGTTGATATTTCTTAAGTTGATACGTCTTAAAATTATCTTCTTTCTAAGAACAATCTCTCCGCTTCAATCTTCAATAAGTTGCTATTGTATGTATACGTTGTCTGGATATCTACAATAGAGCTAAATGATTTGATATTGATTGGTACAGCAATAATAAGGTGAAATAATTTAAAAAAACCTAATAAGATCTTAATTCAATATTATTATTAATAAAAAAAAAATCAATATGCTATATTGATATTGGCATAATTAATCTCAATTACAATGTATATAACTTGGATGTTGATATAAAAAGATGCATAATGTTTTTTTCCAAACTATATATCGAATAAATTGTCTTTCATTTTGCTATTATTAATAAATTGCTAGCTGAATTTACTTTTCCGCTGTTGTTAGTAACCTTTTATATTTATATGTCCATTGTTAGTTGTTATGAATATTATTCTACTTGTGTATATTTTGTCTGTGATTGTGATTAGTGGTTATGACTTTTAACGTAGCTTTAACAATTTTTTAGTCATATCGCTACGATGTCTGCAGTGTGGCAGTTTATAGTGATGCACTGGAGCATCATGCCGCAGACATTTATCATGATGTCCCATCCAGTCGTATTATCCTGACAACAGGCCTACCAGTCCTAACACTAACCTCTTAATGCTGAGCGCCAAGCGAGGAAGCTGTTAATATCATTTTTGTAAGTCTTTGGTATGACTTGGCCGATGATTGAACCCACAACCTCCCGCATCCGAGGCGGACGCTCTAACCACTAGGCCACCTGAGCAGTCTATATTTTGTCTGTAGTTTTTGGAGTAATTGTAGTGGTGTGTCTAGGACTAAGCTCCTAAGAGTATGTCTTAATTTCGTCTCTTAGGCCTTAAGTTTTCCCAGAAGACAATTTTCTAGATCGTGAATCTACTTCAATGTTGTGTTTGTCTGATAAGATGGTTTTTTCGTCTAAGAAGCTGTTATTCATTTCAGAAGTTTACATTACTAAGGACAAATATATTTCTTGTCTTCTATCCCTAAAGACTCACATAATTAAAGGTTGCGGCAGGTGCACAAGTTGCGACGATATATCGAATTTATGTATACTTTCGAGAAAAGCTCACTTTGCGTAAATTACAGCGTGTGTAACTTCCTACTTTGTGGGTAAGTACCGCAAATGTTAGTCTATGGGATTTAGGTGATACATGCCTTTCCATACGGCATTTGCTGCAGGAAATGATTCGTTAACAATGCTTGTCAGTTAAAGAGTCGGTTGAAATCACATTCATTGTCATTAAGAGACATAAACTATGGTAGTACAATGTTCAGAGCATGAACTTTGACCTTTTTATATAAATCTATTTATTTTGCTAAAAATAAATGCATTTTTATCAAATTATCCTCAGTAGTATAACCGAAGAGTAAAATGCGTTCTACAGAAAGAAAGTTAAGGGCCAATATGAGGACATCAGTTTTGCTAAGGCCGATATGAGGATATTAGTTTTGCTAAGGTCGATATGAGAACGTCAGTTTTACTAAGGCCGATATGAGGACACCAATTTTGCTAAGGCCGATATGAGGACATCAGTTTTGATAATAGTGTGCATGTCATTTACTTATTAGATTAAACTTTTAGGAAAATGAAAGCATCGCTAGAGCGGTTGATTTAAAATGGTTGTTTCTTTTCGTGTAACAATTTCAATTGAACAAATTTATTAAATTTACTGCGAGGATATCCCATGTCTCATTTTTGGAGGGTAAGTTTAAGTTTCGGTTTAACTTGAATAAACCAGATTGTTTGCTTAAGAGAAGAAAATATTCTACTGCTCACCTAATTTATTCCAAATCACGTTATGTAATGATTTTATTCTCAGAATGTGTCGCTCGGTATCACTCTTGACAGTACTCTTAAATTGCATCAACATGTCATGAACATCTGCCGGGCTGCATATCTTGAGCTGAGACGCATCAGCTCCATTTGCAAGTATCTGTCAGTTGATGCCACAAAAAAACACTTGTGTGTTCCTTAGTACTTTCAAGACTGGACTATTTAATTCAATTATGTCTGGCTCATCTCAATATCTACTTCAGAAACTTCAAAAAGTTCAAAACACTGCTGCTCGGATCATCCTTAGAGTACCACGATCAGAGCATGCCTCTCCACTGCCGTGTAACCTACAATGGCTATCCATATGATCCAGAATCAAACACAAAATTTGTTCTCTGTGCTATGTTTCACTGATGGACTCCAGTCCAACATACCTATCTGACCTCACCCATGTGTACACACCAGCAAGACACTTACGCTCCTCTTCTGACAATATTCCCACTACGAAGTTAAAATCATATGGACAACGTTCTTTTGCATACCAGGGCCCACCAATGTGTCCACTGCACTTAGACACAAAGGCACAGTGATCTAATTCAAGAGCGCCATTAAAAACCATCTATTTCAACTGCAAGAACAGTCATAATGACCTAATAAAGTATTTTTTAACGTATCCTTACTTTAAAAAATTACAGTATGTTTTCTGTTTCTAATTTTGTGGTGTTTGTTTTTAATTTTTGTAATCATTTCATAATATATGGTTTGTTTTTTATATTCTTTTTTAAGCGTTGTCAAATGTTGTAAAGCGCTTAGAGCTTCTAAAGATTAGGCGCTATATAAAGTCCCCGTTATTATTATTATTATTATTATTATTATTATTATTATTATTATTATTATTAATGTCCGGAGAAAGATGCTTAGGCATCAGTCGTGTGAGATGTACATTTACAATACGTATATAAAGCGTTCATTTGAAAGCGATTTTCACAATGACCTTCAAACGGCAGCGTGCTCTAACATTTTAACATTCCTAGAGTTAAAATGTATGAATGTAGTGCTTTTTTTGGATAAAAAGCTATCACCACAAAATTTGAATGGGTTTATCAGCATTAGATTTAAATTCATACGAAATTAATATTTTCCTTATAATTTATACAATGCAAACTTGCGTGCCGTGCCTGTTAAATGGCATGAAGTAGACCCTTGTTAGCAATCATATACAACACACTATGAATGCTGAAAAGAACATGCGCAGTAAGATACATCAAATGTTTTGACCGCGCTAGGTTTCTTGTGGGAGAGTCTTGATATTCTTGATATAGGATTTACGCTGTAAAATGCTGCGTGATAATAAACGTAGCATAACAGCAGGAAACAATTTGCAATTCTTTATACGACATTGTGAGTTATTGATTGATTGATGAAATTTTTTTAACAATTTTATGTTGTCTGCAAGAAACGTATGCAAATGGATTAATCGAACTTCTTCCGGTCGTGAGTAATGTCATATCACATGTCTTAGCATGTTGAACAGAACGAAGCTAGTCCTGAACTGCCTAGACTGTATCTGTTAAAGAAATATACAAAAAGGAATCCATGGAGAAAATTATAAAAGCTTGCTTCGCTTAAATCGGTTATGTTTTATTCTCTAATATTAAAACTGACGCCATCAAACTAAGTTCCTAATTTGTACAATATTATGAACAAAAACGATCGAATTAAAACAAACCTTACCTAAGTATAATTTGCTGCAGAATCAAAGGTTTCTCACGATTCCATTGCATACAAGAATTGTATATCTCGTTTTCGTTTTGTTCTTTAAAGCAACTTAGTAAATCGCAACAACCCAGTATAGTGACCAAATAAAATTATAAATTATTGTAAAATAAAGCATTTGTCAATAAGATCAAAATGTCCTATATAGTTATTTCGTTAGTGTTTCATTCCTAACACCAAATCTGAGGAAAGATTAATTGATACCTCCTTGGTGGGTAATTTTCATATTTGTAAAATAAAATTTCGACGTCAATTACATAATTTCCTAAATACAAGTATTATATTAAACATATCATATAGTGGTCGGTTGCAATGTACTCATGATATATGGCATTCTGTGTATATTTTGTGATTAACGTTACTAAAAGATATCTTTAACAGTTTCGTACTCAAACATATTTTCTGCAATCAATGTCTTGAAATATCTTAAAACTTGAAAACATGCCACTGAGTAAAACTACTATACCTCATTTCCTGCCACAAGCTGTTAATTATATTGATATATAGTATTTGGTTTCATTGCATGTATAGCTATCCAGCTAACTAGATTTCCTTTTGAGGAATATATATATATATATATATATATATATATATATATATATATATATATATATATATATATATATATATATATATATATATATAAAGAATACAAATCATATGGCGAATAACAACCCTCTCAAGCGTACTGGATCCACCAAGGGATCACGTTTGTCAGGGATTAATTAAAATAGATGCAATAAACTGACGACGAACAGTACGAAACTAGTAACTAACTAGCCTAAGCGCTTTCGACTCTTAATGAGTCTTTTTCAAAGGCAAATACAAAACATAGTTACGACAAACAAATAAACACAAAACGTTGCGTTTGTAAACCTCTACATTTCTATCTTCACATGTGCTAAAACTATAAATACAACCAGCTTGTATAGACTAGTTGCGGAAACTGAAAACGTTGTATAATTCCCTAAAAGTCTACAAGCCAAAGCGACATCTATTTTTATTTTGTGTACATATGTAACGGAGATTATATCCCGGATATTTGGTTCTATACCGGTTATTCTTATAGTAAAAATTGAAGGATAAGAAGATTTAGAAAATGTTAAATTCTACTAGTGCATAGTTTTCATTTTCTAGTCTTCTTGGTTTAGACCGCTTGGTTTCAATGTTCTAAGGCGGCGTATCCAGTATGATTCCTTTTCCTTCCTGGTTTCGGAACTCCAGCTGTGGTTGTTGGCAATAGCGATAAGTATTATATCACTGAAAGTGTGGCCAGGGGAGGAGAAGTGTTCTGCGACCGGCTTCTGTACAGCTTTTTTGTCATCCAATCAGATCTATGAAGGTTTATCCTTATGTGTAGCTTTTCAGTTTCTCCCACGTACTGAAGGCCACAGATCTTACATGTGATGAGATAAATCACATTCTCTGTTTTGCACGTTTTGTTTGGGCCATGTATGTTTAGTTTTTCTTTAGTCACTGTGCTAGTGAATGTCTTGGTCTCTATCATATGTTGACAGGTTTTGAATCTTTTATCGCCACAGGGTCCAGATTGACTAGGTTGGTTTTGACTAGCGATTGTTGTTAGCTTGGCCCTGACTAGGATGTACTTTAGGTTTTTTGGTCTCCGGTAAGCTACTACAGGTTTGCTCGGAAGTATTAGGTTTAGTATGTCTGACGATTGCACGGTTGGCCAGTGGTTTGCGATGATTTTACCTACTTTGGGATTGTCTGGGTGATAGGTCAGAATAAATGGTATCCTATCAACCTTTTCTTTCTGTCCATATCTGAGTAGGTCATCACGGTTTGTTTGTTTGGCCCTTTGGATTGCCTCCGCAATCAGGTCTTTGTCGTAGCCTCGGTAAATTAAATGTTTAGCCAGCTCTTCAGACCTTTCTAGGAATCTTTCATCGTCGGAGCAAATTCTGCGTATCCTCAGTGCCTGGCTATATGGAGTGTTCTTAATGCAGTGTTTTGGATGACAGCTGGTTGGGAGAAGATACTGGTGTTTGTCGGTAGGTTTCGAGTAGATGTCTGTGTGTAATTTGTTTTCCACCAGTCTGGTTGTTGTGTCCAGGAAAACATGGTTTGAGTTGGAAATTTCTGCCGTGAATTTTATTGAAGGATGGAAGTTGTTTGCCTTTGAAATGAAGTCATCCAGACTTTCTCTTCCATACTGCCACTTCATTTCTATATCAT